TAGGGGCCCTCAAAAGAATAAATCACATTTAGAGTGAAACGGATGTTTCCGAGTGGGAACCGTGTGGGATGAATAGATAATAAATCATGGGCTGCTTTACTAATCTTCTAAGATTATTTTTTGATAAAGTTAAATTAAATACTGTAGATATTAATAAAGCATTATAGGACATGAAAACGTCACTAACACCTAAGACATACCACGTGATTTTTAATGAACTGTGACTAAATAAACAAATTAAGGTTTTAATCTTGTGTTTGTGGTTAATCTAATTGCAGGTTTCAGCTTGTAAAAATGTGTTTCCCCGGTACCAGAAGATCCTCCTACAAGAGAGACTCAAATAGCTAATAGCAGAAGACAAACGACACTTGTACATATTTATACTTCCAATACAGCTTTATGTATATAGATATACGTATCAAATGCAACATCTTCTGGGTTTTGATATCTCCGTTCAAGTTTCAGGTAACAAAAACCCCATCATCGTTCTTTATATATATATATATATATATATATATTCTTATTTTCATATTATGAGGACCACCAGCTTGCATATATTAACTAATAACTTGATTATAAATACTAAAGTTGCTTTATATTACTATCATTTGCGGAGGATGTGAGTCATGTATAGTGGAGGTAAACCAATATGAGAATATTTGTGTTGATATGTTATTTTATTATGTTTTTGTTGGTTACAGAAAGCTCCAAAGGATAATCTGTAAAGGAGGGAAAACACAGATAACGAATGTGGCTTAATATAACACACTGGTGAACAAAAAAAAATGTAACACACTATGCTTTTCCATGTGAGAGTACAAAAGACAACTCCAATGAATTGGCAGTGTTACTATATTATAGATTCTAAATTAGGTAGACACTCACAAAAACGAATCATTATAGTTCAGATTTACTCTTTACTTTAATGAATGATCCACCTACACTTTTGTCTTTTGTTTTGTTTGTTGTATAAACAATGTTTTCATCAAATGAGTTAAGAAGCCGAAGGCATCTTTCTTCCACTTCTTTCTAAGCAGACAAAGAAACAAAAAGGATACGTATATGTTTGCAAATTTGTTTATGTTCCTATGGACATTTGTGAAACTCTTACACCCCAACAGAACGTGAACCTCGTGGATTTTTCTAACGGTTGAAATGTTTTATTTCATTATGTGACAGTTGAATTAAAAATCTTGTTGTAGAAATGTGTTGGTACAACTGACTCATTTGCTTGAAAAATTCCAATACCTATTCAGAAAATATAATTACAAAAAGTCCACAAGTTCTTGGTATACCAAAACATCAGTGCTCATCAATACATCCTATGATAAGATTAAGGTTATGAAATCGTAATCAATTTACTGGACCATACTAAACCGTTTATAAGCTATAGTTGGTTGGAGGATTTGGTCAAAATCTCTGTCATCTATAGTCTGTTAGAAACATAGGGTCGGGGGCCTTAAAACTAGACCTAACGAACTTACATGGAGACAACAATTCAATGTATATCAAAAACATGTTTCTTCTTCTCGTTGTTGACAATGCCAAAAGAAAATCTTTTTTTTTTTTGTAAAAGGCCAAAAGAAAATCTTAAATAGACTTTTACCCATGATGAGAGTGCCTAGTGAGGATCAAAACAGTAAATGTTAAAAGGATAGCAATCAATACACACGGGGCTAACCGGAAGGCCACACGGTTTATCCGCGGAAATTTATCATCCGTTGATTCTTTTGGTTTTTCCGTATTTCGAAACTTTTAGGTTCATATTAAAACTTTCAACTACACGTCGACTCTTGGAAACTTATGGACCAAAAATGTTATGGAATTTTTCGTAAGATGAATAATATGTACTAGATGATAATGGCGATTTTTTTTAAAAATATATTGTATTTAAAATACATATTTTGTTACCTATAATTTTTTTTTACATTTGATTAGGAATGAACAATTACTATTTAGTTTGGTTAGGTTTTGTTTTGTTTAGATCCTTACGGATTTGTTCGAATCTTTGCAGGTTCGGTTTGAGTTTAAGTTTAGATAACCGATCTTTTTTTTAAGACTAAAGTTTCATATATACTTTAAACTTCTAAAAATCTAAAAGTAAAAATAATATATAACATTTGAATTTGAAAAATGTATGCCAAATTAATTTAATGTAACATAAAGTTAGTTTATTTTAAATATTTGGACAAAAAATCAATAAATATATTAAGTATTTTGTGTATTTGGTATATCGTTTAGCTATTTTAAAAATGTACTTTTAACTAATTTATATATTTTAAGTATTTTGGAAAAATTAAAAATATCCCATGTATTTTGTATATTCTTAGATGTTAATTTTTTTAAATAATTAATATATGTAAGTATATAAATCTGGTCCGAGTACATTCGGATATCCGAAATATTTCGATTCAGTTTCGGTTCTTTTGATACCAAAATTTTGAATCAATTTAGAGATCTTACTAATTTTGGTTAAAGTTATGTATTACTTATTTTCGGATTAAATCTGGTTCGATTATTTGGATTCAGATTTTTGTCCAACTCTATATTTTTATTGTAACAAAAAATTAAACGTATGGGATAATAATTCATATTGATTTTATGTATACAACAATTTTTAAGCCAAAACACTCTATTATGTACGTGCGCCATTTAGTTAATCATTAAAAATTATTTAAGGCCCATTAAAAAAATGATCGGTTGAACTAAAAAACGTTACTACTGATCCAAAAAATTTTAGTGTGAATTTTTACCATTTTTAGCAATTTATGATTGTTTTAAAAAATTCAAAATATAACATATAAGAAAAAAATTAAATTTTTATTATATAATTAATATAATTGTTTAATTTTTTAAATAATATAAAATTAAATAGGATAAAAAAATATTATCAAATCTTTATTATCCATATTCATTAATTATGATATATATGTTAATCATATTAGGCAATTCTGTAGCTTTTATTTAAGGAAAAAATAAAAAATATTTTTTTGTACATTACAAATAAATATGATAGTTACTTTAATAAAAATATAACTTATGTTTAGTTGGACCAACATATTTCTATAAGAGTTCTAGAAATTATTTTCTTTGTGACATGTGGTTACCAAAAAATATTGTAATGCTCCAGAATTAATATATGGGAGATTTTAGTCTTTTAGAGAAAAACAAGATTTTGTCAAGAAAAATGTATTTTAATATGTTAAAACAAAAGTAAAGAGAATATTACAAAAACCTCTCCAGTTAGGTATTATCACAAGAGCTCACCAGGGTCTTCCATATATGTGTTCTTCAATTAAATACACGTTTAGTCAATACTGTCCGAGCAAACAACTGAAAACAGATGATTACACATTAACAGAGAATCGTAACAATACAAAAGACTCGGATTAATTCAGACTAATCATAAACAAATTTTCATTTTCCGTATATACCTAGTCAAAGAACTTTTTTCACTAAACTTTTGTATTGTGTAAGTCAATCGTAGTGATAAAAAATAGTTAAGAAAAAATGTTATTTACTAATCTAAAAATAATAGCAATTGTATGTGATTAAAACGAGAAAGAAGATATCTTTTGGTCGCCTGATACATCGGATATCTAGTTGTTAAGACTGTAGTATACTAGTATCTATATTTATAAATAGATTTTTTTATTTATTAAAACTATTGTTGGATTTAAAACACTTTTTCTTATATATATAAAAATATTTTTGTATTTATTAAAACTATTTTTGGATTTATAAAACTTTTTCTATATTTGTAAAAATATTTTTGTATTTATAAAACTTTTTTTGGATTTATAAAAAAAATTTTATATTGTTAAAAAGATTTTTGTATTTATTTTTTTATATTATTTATAATAATAATTTTTTTATTTTTGCATGTCTTGTAGCGATAGCCAGGCTAGGTCCGCCGTTACATACCACGAGGTTGGGGTGGTTCGCCGGGCACCTTTCGTGGTTCTGCATCTTCCCAAAACCAAAATCTTGACGCTTTTCCTCTCGCTCCAGCTCCTTCAGTCGTTCCGAGTATCATAATTGTTGAACAATTGGTTCAATAGCCTGGTCGAGAACATCTTCTCATTTTCACTCTGTATCCAAAGAGACGACACCAAACATGGTTAGAATTTTCTTAATTTTATCTTTTATTTCATTATATTTTACTTGATTATGAATTTTTTTTTAGGTTCGGCCGGTCGGGGAACGGGATAAGCACTTTCATCAATCGGATGATGTACTCGATCCTCAAATAGGGATATCTTACCCTCACCGCCTTTCCTCTCGAGGATCAAGAGATGTGGTTCTGTCAGTCTGTAGTATTTATTTTAAATTTTTTAACTTATATTTTTAATCTTTTACTTAATTTCTACCAATTGTTTTTTTTTTTCAGCTAGAATTCAACTGGAATCTCCTCTATACGACCTATATCCATAATGAATTCACCCATAAAGTCATGGACAATTATGAGAAGCAGATCTATGAGTGGAAGTAAAAGTGGCTCAAGGGAAAGAAACCGAAACCGATCAACGACACGGTGTAGCTCGAGTTGCAAGTACATTGGGAGAAGGTGGAAACACAAGGGACCTCGGACACCAATTCCACCAACCGCAAGAGCATACGTGGCGGGAAGGGCGTCTACAAGCACAATTTAGGTGCTTGCAGTATGTCAACTCTGAGAGATCGATTAGTAAGTTGCTTTTTTTTTTAATTTTTAATGCTTTTTTCAGGTGGAACATAATGATGGTGAGTCGGTTGATGAACTCGTGCTAATGAGGGAGGTGTAGACCAGAGAGAATTCAGATGCCGTTGTGAAGGAGGTGATCGACTTGTTCGAAACCCAGAAGGATGAAGAGATCCAACACCTATCTCAGCTTCAATCTGACGACGACGGCACTACTGCTGCTTCCACTAACCTGTCTCGAGCTCGAATCAACGAACTAGTTGAGTCGGTAAGATCTTCATTTTAATTTACAGTTTAATTTTTACTATTTTTTTCATTTCATCGTCTTTTTCACTCTTTCAATTTTATGTTTTCTCTTCTTTTTTTTCAGGCGAAGAAGAAAAACTGTTTGTTCGGGTTGACTCGTCGCTCCAAGTCAGTTCTTTCTACTTCATAACCGGTTTTTGTTGATCTGGCACTTATGGACCAGCTACAGAACAAGAATGACCGCATAGTAGCATTAGAAAACCAGAACGCCACCATTCTTACCCAGAACGCCACCATTCTTGCTAAGATGGCCGATCGGCAAAGTGAAGTGGAGTAAACAAAGAAGAAGAACCATGAGTTGATGGACATGATGCGACGGTTGTTTCTGCACAAGTTCTAGTTTGCATTTTTGTTTTGTTTTTTAAAATTCTGAATGTTTAATTTGTAAAACTTAAAATAGTATAATATATTTTCGCTTTCAGATTAAATTTTCTATTTTAAAATAATTATTCTATAAATATTTGTTTTTTAAAAATAAAATAATTATTATATAAATATTTTTTTAAAAACTAAAATGATTATTATATAAATATTTTTTTTTAAAATAAAAAAATCGAAATATTCTGAGGAAACATAACCGTCGAAAAATTTCGAGGAAGCTAAGCCGTCGGAATATTCCGACTAATAAGTTCCTCAGAAGTTTTTAAGGATCTCGTGTCCTCGGAATATTTCGACGTCCATGCTTCCTCGAAATATTCCGACTGCTCTATTTCCTCGAAATATCCCGCGGATGATCTCCTTTTATAATTTCTTCGGAAACTTCCGACTAATAAGTTCCGTCGGTTGAACTCCGACGAAGTATACATAGGAATAATACGATGGATAATATTCGTCAGAATTTCTTCAGATTTTGTTTTTATCAGTAGTTATCGGTATTCCTTCGGAGCCTTTGACGAAATTCCGAAAATATTTTTTTTCCTGATGAAATTTTTCTGAAGACTTTTTTTGTTGGAATACGCATATTCCAACGGAATTCCAAAAAAAATGATCCTCAGAATTTGACTATTTTCTTGTAGTATCTTTACGTTTGAAGGCAAAAAAAAAAAAAAAAAAATTCATATCCACGTTTCTTGCTATATATCACAACTTCCAAATCTTTGATTAGACCCAATCATCTAGGTATAACAGTTGCTTCCGAAAACTACTCGAAAAGTCTTAACAAATCTCCCTTGATTTCCTCACATTCACTTTATAAATATCAAAAGACTCGGACTTTGTGGTTCATTCAATTCACAGTCGAGAATGGGAAGGGTTTTTATCGTGGATCTTGAAGGACAAATCTATAGTTGCAAACACTGTAATACCCATCTTACTAAAGAACAAGACATCATGTCCAAGGTTTGATCTCTTCAATCTCCACGATCTTCGTTTGGTTTCACACTAATATACAAATGATATTCATCTAGGGTAAATTAAAAAGGATTTGATCATTTTGGGTAAATTAAAAGGATTTGATGTCATTAATCAATAAAACATACTCATTCATCAATAAAATATACTCCATCCGTTTCGAGATGTATGATGTTTACAAAAGTTTTGATGTTTCAATATTTAAAAGGTTTTCATATTTTAGGTTAACTAAACAGTTTTGCATTAATCTTAAACATCAGGATTAGAGGGAGTAATATATATGGACTATACTATAGTACTGACTTTGTGTTTGTGCAGACATTTCAATGCAGGTATGGACAAGCTTATCTCTTCAATACAGTGTAAGTTTTCTTATTTTTTATGATCAACTTTGTATTTTAGTTTGTTATCTATATTCCTAATAACGTTTTTATTGTTGTTGATGATGATTAGTGTAAACATTTCAACTGGAGATAAAGAAGACAGAATGTTGATGACGGGACTTCATACGGTAACTGACATCTTCTGTGTTGGTTGTGGATCAAACGTTGGTTGGAAATACGTAAGACAGCACTTTAATTTAATTAGTTGTAGTCATAATAATAATCTAACTAAGTTCTGTTTTCATTCAGGAGTATAGTTAATCTTGGTTTTGTGTTTAATGTTTTCAGGTGACTGCCCATGATATTAACCAGAAATACAAGGAAGGAAAATCAGTTCTTGAATTGTAAGAGCCCTCTTTTCTTTTCTTTTTTTCCTTATCAAGCATTAATCACATTTCCAAGTTCTAACATTAACACAAATGGTACAACTTTTGATTCAAGAATGTATTTTGAGGTTTGATCCCAAACGTTTATATCTTTTGTTTTTGCAACAGGTATAAGATTGTGGGTCCTTACGATAGCAGTGACTTGGTCTGCCAAGAAATTTCACGACTTGAGATTTAGTAATCACATGATTCAGATGATTGCTTGATCTTTTTTCCTATTTTTTTCAGATTCTCTTAGAATGTACATTCTTTGTCCTCTTGGCCTATTGTTATTTATTTCTATTTGGAATAAGTACATTTGGTACCTGAAATGACGCCTGGTTTTATAGGTTTTAGTCTGATTTATCTTTAAATGAAATAACCACAGATTATGCTTGATGATTTGATTTCTAATAGGGTGCGAATGAAAGTATCTATATTATTAAAACTGAATAAAAAATAGAAATAACTTTATTTTCAACAGATTTATTTCATATTTACTTTTTTACTAGGTGATTTTCCCGTGCTCATGGACGAACATAAATATTTATAAAATAACTATATTATAATAATTTACTGATATTTACTTTATATTTTAAATTAATTTATAATTTGTAGGTATAATTTATATTAATAATATTATATTAATTAAATTCTATATATGATTTAAGATATGTTATATTTTTCAGTTTTATTGTTTTTACGGTTGATTTAGTTGTCATTTGGATATATTAGATTCTATCTATTTATTTGAATTCAACTATAATCTTTTTTATCCTAAATATATTTATTTTTTGATTAGTTGTCTTATTTGCATTTATGCCGGTTGTTATCTTAGAAATATAAGTATATCTAGTAAAATTATGTATAACTAAGATGTTTTACTCTTAGAAAGAAAAAAATAAAAAAACTAAACTGTCTGATTCTAAATTACATACATAAGTAACTAATACATTTTTGGAAGCTTATGAACACATATCAATATTAACAATATTTAGATTGATTGGATGAAAAATTGAAATTTATTTTAAATAATTTTAAAAATAAGGATTCTGATTTGCTTAAATATTTTGATTATTGTTATATTAAGTTCCACAAACATAAAAACAGAAAATTAAAAATCAAAAGAGTTATTAAGAAAACATATAATTTTAACAATTAAAATATATTATATTTACTTCCTTAAATTATATAGTGTTATGATATTTTAAAATAATTGTACTTATTTAATCAAAAATGTTTATTATTAAAATTTATTTTTAGTTTTGTTTTTAATATCTGTAAAAATGTTATTGTTTTGGAGAAATTATATTATATAAGTAAAATAGAATTTATATGTTTTGTTGTATTGTGAGATATTATAGTCAAATAAATATACTAAGAAAAGAAAAATAAAAAATAAATTTCAAGAATACAAATTATAAAAAAAAAATTCAATTAAACATATATTAGTTTATGTTACTTAATTATTTTATGTAATCATCTAATAAAATAGATAGATATATACCAAAAATAATTAATTTGAATATATATATATATATATGTATTATTGTTTAGAACTATTTTTTAAAGAAAAAAATATTTCTTTTTCTAATATCAAGATTAGTTGTGTGAAATTTTTTCATGGAATCACATTATATACAAATATTATTTTTCATCTAAGAAGATATAAATATAAAGTATTTTATTACTTCAAAAGTATATTTTATGTTATTTAAAATATATTTAAATTAAATATTTCTAATTTGTGAACTTTCCTTTTTTATGAAACCATATTTTTGTATACTTATATTTTCGTTTTAAATAGTTTTGTAAACTGTATAAATGTTTCCTTTTTATTTTATATTGTTATTTGGAAAATTTTAAAAAGAAAATAATAATTTTTAAATGTATTCTTTTAATTCATTAGGGGTATCATAGTAATCAACCATCGTGAAAGTTAACGTGAGCTCGACACATAAGAAAGTGACTTCTCAAATAATATTATAGAGATTTATTATAATATACAAAACAAAACTTACTTATTTTTAAGTGTTTTATTATATTTTTTTTATTTTTCTTACTCTTTCAAATTACTTCAGTTAGATATATGTTCAGATACAAATCAATTTTCGGGTATTAGTTTTTGGATTTTAAAATTACTCTGTTCAGATTTTAAAAAAATTTGGACAAGATTCGAGTCGGTTCGGATATGTTTATTGAAACCTAAAAATATTTTATTTACTTAGCACCCACAATGGGGGATTTAAGCAAATCCTTAGCACGTATTCTTAGACAAATAGATTTAAATAATATTATTTAATTTATTTAAGTTAAGGATCAGTTATTAACTAAGGCATTTTAAGGACTTGATCCTTAATGATGTGGCAATGCCTGATTTTTGAAATTTTTAACTTTTTAAATGTGTTGTTACACTCTTTAATAAAATCTATTTTAATCATTTTGTATAGGCTATATTTATGACAAAAATATTTTTTAGATTTTTCTAATTTATTTTTTCACAAAAATTTTAATTTCACATGTGTTAAAATTTAATATTTTTTTGTCCTAAGAACCCCATAATAGATAACACTATTGAAAAAACATTTGTGATTAAAGTCTTTAACTATTCAAAAAAAACAATTATTATATTGCTAAGGACTCCAATGGTGTTACCATTGGAGGTGCTCTTATATATGTATAAATTTTAAACAGTTATTATACCATTTATAAGAATGTAAAAATTAATTCCGCTTGCATCAAGCTCTAGTGTTATGTTAATTTAACATTTAGACACAAAATGTATGTTATGGTTAACAGTCTCCACTCATGCAAGTCATCTTGCTGATTCGTGTGCTTGAATGTGCCTGATCCGTAAATGAGTTATCACTTTACTTACTGTCGTGTTGATTGTTAGGATGTAAGCAGTGTTTTTAGACATGGATGAAACCATGAACTATGAGCATATCCAGGTTGGGTTGATAAAAACCGTACTTGTTCATAATTTACTATAAAAATCAGTTTTGTTATTTAAAAAAAAAGATCCTACACATAAAAGCTTTTTTTATGTTTCATTATATTCAATTTTTATATTTTCATAATTTACTGTGATCGATATTTAAAACTATAATAGTAATTTTATATTTGAAGTCAAAATATCTATTTTTCTATTTGATTATGAGAAATTTCCTATGATAGAACTAAAAAATTGTCACAAATATAGATTTTAAAATAAAAAATAACCAAAATAGGTTTAAATGTTTTATCAAAAATAATTAAATATATATTTATACCATTTGGATTAACTAATGCTACACATTTTTGTTTAGAGGTGAGTAGTGGAGTCTTGGGGATAGGATTTCAAATTTAAAAAAACAAAAATTAAAATTTTCAAAATAAAAAGTGGTCATTTTAGTTTTTGAAATCTATTTTTGTGATAAAAAATTAAAAAGTTCTATTTGAGAGAATTACCCTTTGGCTTTGATTTTTCATTTGATTTTGTATTTAAATTTTATCCCATATTATTTCTGTTGAAAAAATTAATACCTAAATCTTATTATATTTGTAAAATTTACCGAAAACAACAAACAAAGATTTACATTACCGCTATTTCTCTATAATTAAACTCAATTGGATTTGGTTGAATCTAACTGAATCATATCAAACCATATTGACTCATAACCTAACACTTTTCCTGTTCAGTTAAACTTTTAAAAACATGGGATGATAGAGTGTTACACTTGACCTGTGTATTCACAACGATGAAAAACATACATATATGGTTTCGATCATGAAGTTTCTAAACCTGGAAGAACAACATTTTACAAAGAAACTTCTCCACTGTCCAAAATGACAACTTTTCTTTTGGGCTCTCCACTGCTTTGTCCTTGTGCTTCGATCTTGCGCACTACATCCATCCCTGACAATACCTTCCCAAACACAACGTGATGTCCGTCCAACCTTTTTGTCAAAACACACACAAAAAAACACATAAAGATTTTCATTATCACATAATTATGTTGAAAACAGAATCATCAAGCCTACTTACCAACTCGTGGTAACTGTTGTGATGAAGAACTGTGAACCGTTGGAGTCTGGTCCCGAGTTCGCCATTGATAATACTCCTGGCCCAGTGTGTTTGAGTTTGAAGTTCTCATCAGCAAATTTATCACCATAGATAGACTCTCCACCTCTCCCATCACCTCGTGTGAAATCTCCACCTTGAATCATGAAGCTAGGAATGATCCTATGGAAGCTGCTTCCTTTGAAGTACAGAGGCTTCCCCATGTTCCCAACACCTTTCTCTCCTGCACACAAAGGAAGATAAAAACATCAAACCCCAAAAGACACTCTTGTCTCAAATAATTTAAAGACCAATGAGGGTTAAAGAGGGGAAACAGAAGCTACTTGGCTACCCGTGCAAAGCGCTCGAAAGTTCTCTGCAAAGAAGTAAAAACATGGATTCAGTAAAGAAAACGCCTCCAAGATAAGAAAGAAAGAGAGCAAAATGTTTTAAGGCACCTGCAGTTTTAGGAACTATCTTCCCAAAAAGCCCAATGAGAATCCTTCCTATACATGAAAGACTCTGTTAGCATGATCTTGGCAAAGAGTTCTGAGCTTCAAGTGAACAGTTACACTAACACTTAAGAGACAAGAGTGGTGATACTGCAATGCAATAAAGGAAGAAAAAAAGAGCATTTTCTGATTCAAAGACTAAGGCTTTTTGAATCAGAAAAAATTAATCATACACTAATGTGTTTAAGCAACTGATGCCAAATCCTTAAACACATAAAAATCAGATTTTTATGGTTCAAATTTCTAAATTAAAATGGAAAGATGAGGAAACTTTATGAAATTGTCTCTGTTAGCATGATCTTGACAAATAGTCCTCATCTTCAAGCAAACAGTTACACCAACACTTAAGAGACAAGAGTGATACTGCAATGCAAAGACTAACGCTTTTGAATCACACAAAAAATCATACAGTTATGTTTAAGAAACTAATGCTAAATCCTGAACAGTAAGCATCTTTCTAAGACATAAAAATCAGATCTTTTTTTTTTAAAAAAAAATCTAAATTAAAAGAGGAAAAAGGAGGAAACTTTATGAACCTGCAGGAGAGCCATTGATCTGAATATCAAAGAAAACTTTGTGGGTAACTCCTTCTAACTCCTCTCCTACCTGATAAAACCCCAGAAAGGCAGAGAGAAAAACCCTAATTTCAAAATCTGATCACAAACCTTTATAAAAAATTTTTAGAAAGGCAAAAATGAGTTTAAATTCAATGCTAACCTGATCAGGAACCTTCTCATTGACCATAGGATCAGCAACATCAGTCAATTTAATCTGATTGAAAAAGCCAATAGAGTAATTAGTAATGTCACAGACCCAAACTACCAGATAATGAGGAATAAAGGATTAAACCTGGATGAGAGCAAGTGTGACAAAGAGGACAACTATCCACAAGAGTGTCAGAGAGACCAATCTAGTCGCTGTAATCGCCATTACTACGATTTGTCGGGGGATCAAATCGTGCTTCTTTAGATCTCTCAACAGTTCTGTTCCAACAAAGCAGATATTGCAATTTTGGGAAATATTTTGAAAATAAACCCTCAAAGTTATAGAATGTTTTCAGTATGAACCCTTATAAAAATAGTTACAAATTGGATACATATGAATGCCCTCCATCATCACATTTTTCTTTTTTTTTCATATTTACGTGGGATAATTCATGTTAAACTTGAGGGGGGGTGTTTGTGACTTGTTTTCTTCTGGTTTTGTAATTGTTCTTTGGTTTTTGTAGCTTTTTAACTTAAAACTGATGCACTTGATGTAATAGGGTTTTGTTTGAATAAAATTTTACATTCATTCAAAAAAAAAATAATTCGTGTTAAACTAGTAATCAACCGACTAGTGGCTGAATGATGCAGTGATAGATCTAGAACAGAAACATTGAAGAAAAGCGTCAGAGACAGTGGCCAATGGCGATGTAGAATTATATTTAGTGGGGACAAATCCTATATAAACTTTAAAATATAGTTAGAAAATGTTATTTAATAAAATGAGTAATTAAAATTTAGGCATATTTAAAAAAAAATTGATCTTTTTACGGGGGCACTTGCCACTTTCTTGAGCAATGTAGGTTCGCCAATGGTCAGAGAGTTACTAAATGTGGCCAAACTCTCATCAAGATCAGAAGATGGTATACATGTTCTTCATGAAAGCTATAGTTCAGTTAGAAAGCTAGTGTGGGGCACTAGTGTAAAAAAAAAAAAAAGTCTAAGACTATATATAAATTTTAGGTAAATTGGTTAAGAAATAACAAAAATATGTATGACACTTGCCACACCCCCTAACCACCTAGATCCATTTTTGGATATAGGGCTAAAACAATGAATAATTTGATCTTTTCAAAAGCTAAATATCTGAATTCGATCTGAAATAACCGAATCTAGAATTAAAAAAATTTGAATCCGATTTAAAGTGTAGAAATAACCGAACGGATATTAAATATTTGTGTCGTCGAAATATTCAAAAATCTAAAATAACCGATACGAACTTGAACGGATATCCAAACAATAATTTCTAGTTAGATATGTTTGCTCCATTTTAATGATGGGCCATCAAATAGATCCACAATGAGTGTGCTTCTTTTAAATATTTCAAGATTTGATGACAAAGCTTAATGTTTAAGGGCAATTCTCTTAAATAGTTCTTTTTTAAGTTTTTATTATAAAAATAAACTTCAAAAATTAAAATGACTAAAATAACATTTTTTATTTTGCAAATTTAAGTTTTTTTTTTAAATTTTAAACATTATCCCCAAAACCATATCCCTCAACTCTATTTAACACAAGGGATAAAAATGTATATTTAATAAAATATTTAAGTGTTATTTTGTCATTTTTATTTTTATCTGTTATATTTGTGACAAAAACTTTTTTAGTGTTATTTTAGTCATTTTCTCAATGTTTAATCCGAGAACAAAATCACACTTTGTAATCTCTTAAGTTTAAAGCTTCAATTTCAGCAAAAAAAAATAAAAAGTAAAAACTTTAAAGCTTCAAGAACATCGTAAACGTTATCTGAGATGCTTTCATCACACTTAATGTTTTAGGATTTTCTTTATTTTTTTTCTATTTCTCGACTTTACATTTTGGGCATTGAATTTGACCCATTTCCTACCTTTGTTTGAACAAGAAACGATCTTACTTAAATCATTAATTTAAGCATTAATAAAAAAAGATGAAAGTATTAATACAAAAGTCAGAAACACTTATCTAATAATTTATCTGAAACACATCTGCCGACAACCAAAAAAAAAATCAAACATTCCACGTCAACCAATAATAATGCAGATCATTCCTTACATCTCAAGTTTTATAGAAAGTAAAACTTTTTGCGATCAAAACCACTAAAACACAACTCCGATTCGATCCCTAAACAATCCTTCGTTTTGTTCCAATGTCGAAGCAAACATACAAAGTCTGTTTCTGTTTCCGTCGCAGGTACCGTCACACGGCGTCGGTTGCTCCTCCTGAGATCAAGACCATTTTCGATGGTTACTCCGAGAAAGGTCTCATGACTGTTGATCATCTCCTTAGGTTTCTCACCGATGTTCAAAAACAAGATCAAGCCACGAGAGAAGAAGCTCAAGCGATCGTTAATGCATCAACGTCTCTTCTTCATCGCAATGGTCTCCACCTTGACGCTTTCTTCAAATACCTTTTCAGTGTTGATAACTCTCCTCTTGCTTATCATGAGGTGATCTTCTTATTTACATTTTAAACATTATGCGATATTCATTAGGTTAGAATGAAGTAATATATTTTTGTACATGGGTAGAATGACCCTCAAAGTTTTTAATTATTATTAAGGTTTTTTTGTGATCACTAAGGTTTTTTTTGTGTGGAGATTTAATCTTGTGACTATTATGTGTGTTTTCTTTGCAGGTGCATCAAGACATGGATGCTCCGTTATCACATTATTTCATATTTACAGGGCATAATTCTTATTTAACTGGTAATCAGCTGAGTAGTGACTGCAGTGAAGTACCTATAATAGATGCATTGAAGAAAGGTGTCAGGGTTATTGAGTTAGATCTTTGGCCAAACTCTGATGAAGATGGTATTGATGTTCTTCATGGAAGGTAAATATAGAGCAATGGAATTTCATTGTATTCATGTCCACTAATGAATCATGGTTTGTTGTTCTGTTCTTAGATGTTAAAACTGTATTTGTTTATTTTAAATAGGACACTTACATCACCTGTGGAGCTGAGCAGATGTCTAAATGCTATTCAAACATATGCATTTGATGTATCTGATTATCCAGTTGTTGTAACTCTTGAAGATCATCTCACTCCAAACCTCCAGGCCAAAGTTGCTGAGGTGTGAGCTTATTTTGCATTTCTAAGAGAGCTTTATTTGCTTTGGTTGATCATTTTAATGATTTTAGAGATGTTCTGTGTTCTAGATGGTTAGTGAAATATTTGGAGAAATGTTATTTACTCCTCCTCCTGGAGAATGCTTAAAGGACTTCCCATCACCAGCGTCTTTGAAAAGGCGTGTTATCATCTCAACCAAACCTCCTAAAGAGTACAAGAAATCAAAAGATGATGAGGAGGTGGAGAAGAAAGATAGGAGTTTGGGTGATGAAGAAGTCTGGGGGAAAGAGGTTCCTAACTTTAACCGGAGGGACTCAAGTGATGACAAGGTGTGTGTAGAAACACACAATTTAGCTTCATAGCTCTTTCATATGTATAAGTTGGTTGTTGTTTCTTTCCTGTTGTAGAATGATGAGGATGATGATGATGACGATGATGATGATGAAGGTGACAAGTTTAAGAAGAATGCACCACCACAATATAAGAATTTGATTGCTATCCAGGCTGGGAAACCAAAAGGTGGAATAGTTGAATGTTTGAAAGTGGATCTTGATAAAGTAAGACGGCTTAGTTTGAGTGAAGAACAACTTGAAAAGGCCTCAGAAAAATATGCCAAACAGATTGTGAGGTATTCCCTTTAAGAACATATAATGTTTTCTCAATTATTTTAAAAACAACAAAGTTGATCATGGAGTATTGATTGTAGATTTACTCAACGGAATTTGCTTCGGATTTACCCAAAAGGAACTAGAATTACTTCATCAAATTATAATCCACTGGTTGGCTGGAGTCATGGTGCTCAAATGGTGGCTTTCAATATGCAGGTCTCCTCTTCATTTTTTATCTCATTTCCAAGCTATCTTGTTCATTTATTTTATATTAGAACATCTCATATTCCACATGCCACATATTGAATTCTTGTTTTTTTCACATATTAAATTCTTGAAAGGACTTATTCTTGTAAAGGGACAAGGAAGATCATTGTGGGTAATGCAAGGAATGTTTAGAGCTAATGGAGGATGTGGATACATCAAGAAACCAGATATTTTGCTGCAGTCTGACGCTGTATTTGACCCGGAAGCTACATTACCTGTGAAGACAACACTAAGGGTCAGCTATATATCCTCTATTCTCTATTTTAAAAACCTCATAAACTTATAATGTTTTTTATATCTTTTTAGGTAACTATATACATGGGCGAAGGATGGTACTATGATTTTCCTCACACACACTTTGACCGATATTCTCCACCTGATTTCTATACAAGGGTAAAAAAAATAAATCTGCAAGCTTATGGTTTTGAGGCTGAAACTAATGATCATAATATGTTCAGGTGGGTATTGCTGGAGTCACAGCAGATACGGTAATGAGGAAGACAAAAATGTTAGAAGATAACTGGATACCAGATTGGAATGAGGTTTTTGAGTTCCCATTAACGGTTCCAGAGCTTGCTCTATTACGCATAGAGGTACATGAGTATGACATGTCGGAGAAAGATGATTTTGGAGGCCAAACTTGCTTGCCGGTTTGGGAACTGAGGCAGGGAATACGTGTTGTTCCTTTGCATAATCAGGATGGGGTGAAGTGTAGATCCGTGAAGCTTCTTGTGCGGTTGGAGTTTGTGTGAGTGTATATATAAGAAATGTTCTCCGGGTTTAAGCACATTTAAACCGGATCTGGTACAGAAAGTAAACCGAGTTTATGATTTCGGTTTGATGAGTTTGGTACTAGTGAGTATTGAGCTGTGAGTGTGAGTGAACACAAATTTATGCTGATTAAAAAAAACTGTGTTGCCATCCCATTACTTGCACACTTTTAGTTTTAGGCCTCTGATCCCTAACAGTTGAATGAAGTAAGCATGATATAACTAAATACTTGCAAGGTCATTTCTCCCTGTGTATTTGTTTGATTATGTTTTTTTGTGCATCATAACGAAATTTTGGAACTGTAAACTGCAATTATGAATCGAGAATCTTTAAGAATTCTTTGATAAATCTTCAAATTGATAAAAAGTGTTAGAGCAGGTGCAACCGTGTATTTACACTGGCTCTATTTCCAATTCTTTTTTATTACAGTGTATTTACACTGGTTCGATTTCCAATTTTTTTTATTATTTTATTAATTTTCTTTTTTTCGTCTAATTAAAAAAAAAAGTTATTAATCGTGGACTGTCACGTGTCATGGGGTCCATAGTACAGTAACGTTACCCAGCAAAATCAATCTTTATATAAGGATTTTTCGTACTGATTTTGGCACAAAAACCAAACCAAACAATATTTTAATATTTTATTTTTAGAAAATTTTGCTAAGGATTTGTTATGTTTTTCTATTGCACATGCTCTTAGTATTTATTGAGAAATCTTTTTAAAATGTTGGATAACTATGTTATTACAAATCCTCTATTGTTCTAATAGAAGTGTATATTGTATTGTTGTTAGATCATAGTTGTTTGTAAAGGTTTGATATCTAATTATGAAACACCAGAAAAATAAAAACAATAAGTTATACAAGAAGACATTTATTTGTTTGCCGTCCTCACCGCCATGACTGCCCCACCACCTTGCTGCCGCCACACCTTGTTAAAATAAAAGCATTCGTATATCTTCTATGTAAGTTTATTCCGCGTGGAAGAGCTTTTATTAATGTATATCTAATTGAATTTTGAAGTCTGAAGCACCGCCATGGCCCATTAGATCATACAATTAATTTTAATGTTAGAAGCACCGCTCAACTTAAATGAAATGGGAGTTACATAAGCTCCAACTCTAGTAACACCGGTTCCATGCCATTGTGGTTTGCTGATATATTCTCTTACAAGTGTACTTTAACAATTAACATTCTATATTTCATTGCAATGTGTATGTGTTTGATTAAAGAGCCTGAAGACTAAGAAGTTAGGATAAGATGTTTTATACCGCAGATAACGTTAGATACTGCATCACCTAATTACACATTCTTTTGTTAGCATCAAAACACATGTTTTTATTTCGGATTTTGTTGGTGGTCCTATCTCAGGAAGCTTCATCGAAACTCTACTTAACATTGACTGATATTTCCTTGAATTGACAGAATTATTGGAGACGCCAGAAACTTTTTTCGGACCTCTTAACTAACGTATCATTTGCCAGTCTTTGTAAAGTTGACCTGCATTACTCTTATTCGTATTAAGATATACTATTATACATTCATAAATTTAAAATATATCAAACCATACAAACATTTTTATTTACATGTATAATATTTTTCAAAGTTAAAGATAATAATTTTCGTCAAAACATTAAGCTAAACTTTAATGATTTGGAAAATTCAAAAAGACAGAAAATAAATTGGAATCTTCGAAGTCAACAGATTCTGGTTTGTTCGTCAGCATGATCACATGTCAGCCTAAGACCATCCGCAATGGCGAATCCTTACGGGGAATCCTTAGAGAAATAATAATTTTATAATCAATGGGTCCCATGAACAGTTAAGGATTTTATCCTAAAAATCCTTATGTAAGGATTGATCCTTACACTATTCATGGGCTCCACTGCACACGTGGCGGTTTGTGAGTGGTCAATTTTTTCCTTTTTAAATAAAAAATCTGAAATACCCTTACATAATCCGAAATATCCCTTTTTCTTTTTTCCTAAGGATTCCCCTTAAGGATCCGCCATTGCGGATGCTCTAAGAGAGTATACATGTGTAAGAACGGACCCACTTCTAACTTTCATTGAATTATTAATCTTTTCTCTTTCGTGAAATGTCTATGGCAGCCTTCAAAGAGAGAGTAGAGTAATGGAATTCTGTAGAGTAATAATAGTACATTATACAATCCACGCCAAAGTCATTATCCATCATCTCCCTACCATGCTGGCTCCACAAGTTTAAACAACACACAAGGTTTGACCAGATGGTTCAAAGAAACGACATCATAATAGTCTCACACAAACTTTTCTTTCTTCTCAAAAACAATGATCCAATTTTAATATTCGCTCTCCGCTGTCCAAAGTATACATTTCCCAACCAAAAGGTTAGACCACGAATATTGAATATTCAAATTCTCCTAAGCAACTACCACTAATCATTAATTACAAAAAAACAATTACCCAAGAAAAACAAAAAAAAAAAAACTAGAAAAATAAATAAAATCCTCATGTAAAAAAAAAACCCCATCTATGTAAAAATAATTTTAATCTCTCTCAATGTCGGAGACAATAGAGCAAATGCCACTAGAGATACTACCATGACTATCACCACACAACTCCAACGCTCTCTCTAAATTTCCGACAATATCAGTCATTGTCGGCCTATTCCTCCCTTCAGCATTCACACAATGCATCGCCGTATTACCCACCAGCTCCACCGCATCTCCTTCCCCTAGCTCCGGTAATCCAACTCTAGGATCCAAAACCCGACCCAACTCACCCATTTCAATCGCCGAGACAGCGTATTCCACCAAATGCACCGGGGCACACTCTTCTTCCACATCACCACCGTTCCTAAAAATCGCTCTTTTACCCGTCAACAGTTCCAACAACACAACTCCTAACCCGTAGACATCACTCTTGTCCGTTAAAACATTTAGACTGTAATATTCCGGATCAATATATCCAACCGTTCCAGCAGCTTTCATCGGACGTTGCTGATGATCTTTCCCTAGCTCCGGACCCATTAAAGACAACCCGAAATCCGAAACCCTGGCGACCCAATTAGAGTCTAACAAAATGTTCGACGACTTGATATCTCTATGAATAATCGGCGGCACGGCGTAGATGTGTAGATACTCGATACCTCTAGCCGCGTCCAACGCGATTTTGATCCGCATTTTCCACGAGTTGACCAAACTGCTGTGTTTCTCCACGTTGTTCCTGTCGTGAAGATGGTCGTGAAGCGCACCGTTCTTCATGTAATCGTAAACAAGAAGCTTCTCATCACGCTCCTCGCAGTAACCAACGAGCCTCACAAGGTGCTTATGGTGAAGCCTCGATAGAAACGCGATCTCCGAATCAAACGCGGTTTCTTTCTCCTGAAACTTCTTCATTTTCGCGTTTACGTCGCCGCGTTTTATCGCGACTTCTCTCCCGTCGTTGAGTTTGCCTCTGTAGACGACTCCGAAGCTCCCGGACCCTACCTTGTTCTCCAAGGAGAAGTTCCCTGTGGCCGAAGCGAGCTCCGAGAAGGAGAACGCTTCGGCCTTATCGGTATGTTTCATCGATGACGTCCCGCTTCTCTGTCTCCTCATCGAAAACATTCTCGATCCTTGACGTCTGAACGTCAAGGATCGAGAAGGCGGGGAGCTGCTCGACCGAGTACTCGAACCGCCTCGGGTTATCGTCGGTTGAACCGAGTTATGCACTTTCTTCTTCCCCAAGAAACCTCCCGTCCATAAACAGTAAACCACACTGCAAACGCCAGCAAACGCTCCTACCGATCCAACGATCGCAAACGCTAACAATCCTCTCGTTAACCCCTTCGAGGGAGTAGACGGTGGAGATGGTGGTGGAGATGGTTGAGGAGGAGGTAAGATTCTGCATTTGCTGCAGATCGAACCCGAGCCGGAGCATAACTGATCAGATCGTGGATACACACCACACTTACAAATAGAAGGTTCAACGCAAGGACCTGGTAAGATATCTTGAAAAGGAAGGAATATTCTCGAGAAATTATTAGGGCTCCAACACATAACGGATAAGTTACCGGATATCAACCCGCAAATAAGACCCGACCCGGATGTAACCGACTCAAACGAGATATTTTCCGTTACATTGTTGAACCTCTCCGCTCCACCTCCCCAGCAAGTCACGGAGCCGTTGGTAGTTCGGATCGCGCACGTGAAATTCGACCCGAGAGAGAGATCCGAGAAGAGATAAGGTTGACCCGATGGAGCATTAAGCTGACCCGATTCGTTTCTTCCCGTACAGATCAAACCACCCGTTGAGTTTAATCCGCACGCGTGTGACTCCCCCGCTGATACACTAACCATCGTTTGGTTTCCAAATCCGGTTTGGATCTGACCGGATTTAACCGGATCTTTCCCCCAGCATAAAACTCGGTTATTCCTAACCGAGACTCCACACGAGAACCCAACTCCAGACGAAACCGTAACTAACCCCTCGTTAGGAGCCTTTGAAGGATCGTTTCTCCAGCATTTAACGGCGTTAGTGCCGTTAACCACCGCGCAGATTTGAGTATTCCCGACGGAGAGACTCTGGAGCAAAACGGTGTCGTTGTGGTAGATTCGCTTCGGTTTGAGAGTGTAGCTGCTTCCGATGAGGTTGAACCAGCAGAGGAGGCTGTAACCGCCGGAGCGTATCCCGCAGAGGAAATTCTCGCCGGCGGCGATGGAGGAGAAGGAGACGCCGGGGTTTAGGGTGAGGTTGGTGCGGAGGCGGGTGTTGTGGCAGAGGATGCGTTGCGTTGGTTGGCCGGAGATGACGGCGCAGACGGTGTCGGAGCCGTAGACGACGGCGTAAGTTGAGCCGGAGCCTAAGGCGGAGGAGGGAGTCGAGAGGAAGGAGAAGAAGATGACGGCGACGGTGACGGAAAACGCCACGGTGGATGAGATGGAGCTTTTCATGGGAAAAGGATGAATTTGACTAAATCAGACTCATTCATTTTCGTGAGTCAAAAACTCTGCTTGAGAGAGGGGAGAGAGAAGAAGACGAAGGGAGAAAGAAAGAAGACAGAAGAATATATGTGTTTTTAAGAAGACAAAACAGTAATTAAAGTACATATTAATAGGATTTGCATAAAAGTGCGTTTTTTTAATATTGCTGAGTCACCATTCTTTTATTATTCTTTCTTTTTTTTGTTTGTTAACAAATCTTTGATTCTCTTTTTTATTAATTCATGAACTAATATTGTAGTTTAACAATAACACCATTATTATTATTACTAGATTTTAGAAGGAATTTTTGAATTTTATGAATGTATCACGAGTGTTTTTGGTGATTATTAAATAAATAAAAAATTGATTTTAAAAAATATATTTTTACATTTTCAAGGTATATTTTATCAAATAATAATGAGTAATTATAATTTTCCAAAAAATTTAATTCCATTTATTAGATTTTTATTGATTTAATTTATAGGAAAATGATAATCACCAAAAACTTTATATTTATATGTGTTTTAGTAATATGTGCGAAATAGTTAAAATATGTAGTAAATTGAAATAGAGGAAGTATATATTTTTAATGAATGACTTTGTCTTTTGCTCCTATTGCTGATTTTAACTCATGATTCTCAAAGAAATTTTGAACTGAATTCTTAAGACCGTTTCAATATTTTAATACAGCAACTACTACGTTATATGTGTGGCGTATATTATATGCTAGATTTATATTGTTTTTCATGCAACAACCGCTAATATGATAAAAAGTAATGTGAACAATATAAATACTGAATTTCCCATGTAAAGGGTAAATACAATTCTTTTTTTTTTTTTTTTGGCACACAAAGGGTAAATACAATTCAAAGTCTGTCTATTAGTCCATGTTTCCAAAATGGTGATGGTTGAACTCATTTCTTTTTTGTTCTTTATAATACTGTCAATTTCTGTTTGTTTAACTTTATAATTTTTCTTTTTAATTTTGAAACAAATATGTATATTACTGTAAAAACAATAGATTTCTATTCCTTTTTTCATTGAGTCTTCTTCATTCAGAAACTTCCATATTTTCTGTTAGCAACAAACTAATGCAATTAAAATTCACCCTAACTATGGATCAATTTAGGAATCATAGGAAATTACATATGACCATATCAATGGAAATTTATCTTACCATAAAAGCATATCTCTGCCTTTACACAAAACTGTGGAAATGATTATTACCATATTACTGGAAACTGTATTACCATTAATTAATATTATTTTTACCCGTCTTTTTGTACAGCAACATTTATTTTTGGTTGTTTCCTTTTTTGTTCTTTTCTTATTTGTGGCCATAGTCATTTTAGCAGTTTACCCCTACCTGAACCGAGGCTAATTCTAAAAGCCATTCGAGCATTCAACAAAACAAAATCAAACCCTTTCTCAAAAAAAAAAAAAATCATTAACCCATTACCACTATTTTATGTTTAGTAGTATATGTTTTTCTGCTTTGTAGTATATGTTTAACACATAATATGCTTCTAAACGTCAACTCGCTTACAGAGAAAAGACATCACTCAGCTTCGATTAGTTTATTTGAGAAACATTATGAAAACGATATATGTAAAATTTTGTATAATAATTCAGAACGTACCATAGTTTTATCTGAACTTATTAGCAAACTTATCATTTTTACATAACCTGTATCCATTTTTGCAGTAAAATAGTATGATATTGTCAAGAATTATTTTAATATGAAGGGACAATGTATAATAAGATAATACCATTTTACTTTTTGAGAAAAATCCTACAAAATTTTAACCAAAATTTATAGACACAGAAATAATTGTTGAAAGAAGAAGATTGTCATTTTGAAGAAAACAAAAATGAAACAAAAATTGTCGACCAAAAAACAAGTTGTTTAGTGTAACATTCTAGTAGATATGACTTATATGTATAGATAGAGTACATAAAGAAATATAACGATTAACTAGTAAAAGAAAAACATTACAACCGAGAGATGTCCAAATACCCATGTTTTAAAACTTGGGTGTCTAATTATCTAAGCGGTCATTTAAATGCTAGATACAATTTATTCATCTCGATTTATATCATATCGATCTAAAAAATTGGATGTCTAATTTTAATCCATCTAAATCATCTATCTCCCTAATTGTCTGTCTAACCATTTATATGGTCAACAATTTTTTATTTTTAAATTATTTTTTTTTATTTTTATTTTTTTTTAAATATTTGTAATTTATTTATTTGATCTAAAATATTATAATTACAATTTATTTGCATAATTTTGATAAAATTATACTGTTTTAAGTTAATGTTTTATATTTTTGTGTGTTTTATACAAATTTAAATATGAAAATATCTAATTTTATAAAAAATTAACATATTTTATAAAATATTAAACAATTTTAAATTATATCCTATAGAATTTTTTTTTATTTCTGATTTTCTAGTTAAACGCTAATAGGATGATTGGGAGACACGACCCGGATGTAATTCCTAACAGGGCCAAATACTAATGCGCATGGCAAAATACTAATGCGCGATCAAGTTCGAAACTTCGAAACTGAGAGGAAAATGATGGATGTGGAAAAGACTTTAAAAATTATAAAGCATTTAACTTATTTAACGGCTGGCCACATTTGACCAAAAACCTTATACTAAATATAAGATGCATGTTGTTTTCTAATTACGGTAGTTATATGTAAATACAATGAAATTTATTAAACGTCTAATAAAATAGCTAACAAAGAAATTATGGAATGAGAATTGATATTTCTGTTCGGAACGATGATAGAATTTTATTAAATATTTACGTATATTTTCGGCCATCTATTTACACACATTAAAAAAATTAAGCTTCACGTTATTTTTCTTGCGTTTTAACTCTCGACAAATTAAAGTTTACAATTTATAAGAAAAAAATGTACTTTTATCCGTCTTAATGTATAAAGAGGATTATCTATAGTGTATACAGATCTGCTCGACTGCTCCTTTATTTCGATGTTTGTTTATATATTTTGTATAATATCCTTTCATTATGTGTATCTAAATACATGTGCTTATCATTATTAGTCTTGTCGAAAAGCTTGGAATGCTACGAATACACACGTACTTGCATAAATCTCGCGTCCTGAAATATTTTTTCTTTAAACGTAAAATACTTCATAATTGTGTTCAACCGCTCTGAGTTAATATATTGACTGCAGTTTTCATAAATTCTGTTGCAATAATCAAATTCTAAAAAAAAAAATAAAAAATTCTAAAAATTAAAAAATCGATTTATTGTTCACATTAGTCAAACCAATTTATATCGTGTTCATGACAATACTCATTTAACACGCCCCTTTACTATATCTAAAAGGAAAGTTATACTAATGAGTCCAAATGTGTTCAGTATTGTTATTTTTCCAAGAAAATTGCATTCACAACTACTTCTCAAGTCTTGAATATGCTTACAAAGAGTATATTCGACAAAAAATAGAGCTCAAACTTGTGAACTACTGATAAACTAAAAGAAATTAATCTCTTAAAAATGATTATTTTCAGAGCCACATATACCTTCTTAACCTCACACTATATCAAATTAATATATGTATATCTCCACGCAATTAACGAGTTCACACGACGCGTCTTTCCATTAATATTGGTGTCCAGCGGAAACTCTATAGTACACTAAAGTAACTAGCAAAAAAAGAATGTAGTAGATTTCATGGGAGTAGTTAGTTAGGCTAAATCTAGATGTGAAGATGCCTTAGAAGTCTAAGCACAGCTCAGAACGATCCCACTTAATTAACAACGAACATGAGAAGGCCGACCATAATCCATATAATAAAAAGATTAGTTGCAAAACTACATTTAATTATACGAAAGCGAAACATGACAGGTCATGTAATGCAACTCACGTACTCTTTCGACCTGTAAAATGTGTTCAATATATATTTTAAAGGATATTGTATTGTTTAGAAAGGGGGAGTATCATAATGTCTGGTAGCTAAGATTAAAAGCCATTGACAATATCTCTTAGATGCTTTTTGTTGGACCCTGAGATGACTTTCAGCTCAATTCAGAATTTTAATCTAAGGCAAATACTTTTTTTTTGCTGGATCCTGTCACAAGCTTTTTTGAGGCAGGAGCCAAACTAAAAATTAGCGATGTAAATTGGCCCCATGTAGTGTATATATATGTATGTGCGAACAGTTGAGTTCATAAATGATTGTCAGTTAAAATATTATAGTGAAGGAGTGAATATGGTAACGCTGTCCTGGCTAGTAAAGTAGTAAAAACATACTCCCTTTGTTTTAAAAGTAGTAAAGGAGAAACAGATGTTTTAGTTTTTTCACACATAGTAATACAACATATTAAATTTCAGTATTAAATACATATTTTTTCTTAATTATCATTTTTCATAATTTTAAACCAATAAAAATTCAGTAAATACAATTATTTTTTTGAAATTAACAATTAATTATTAATTGACAAAAATGTATCTTTCTGAAATACATTATTTTTCTAAAACATGTATCTTACCGAAACACAAGAAGTAATAACAACTCTGACTCATAATGAAATCATGAACCAAACATGTTCCTTTTTTTTTTTGATAAATGTGGAATACATGAATCCCAATTACTCACATTCCTGATTTTAAGTTTACTAATTATTGAGTATATATTATGTCTTTCAAAAACCACTCCACTTCAAAGGAAGCCAACATTTATTTATCTTCTCATACCAAACCAGTCTATACTTCGGTTTAGACCATAACCCGGTATATCCAAACTGGAAAAGGAAAAAAATAATGCTTGATATCATTAACAAAATTACAGAGAAAGCTAGAGAATTACATGAAATCAAGAATGTGTAATAGAATTTTATCTTTTTAAAAGAAATCTACCAAAGATTATAAACACTACAAATGGTAGTTTATGTGCCTTCTCACATATTCTTTTTCATTGCTGAAACTACTGTACCAAACAAGTCCCTTTGCCTTTTTTTTTGTGTGAACCAAAGATATATTTCGGTTTTCACCATTAGTTCGGTTAAGGATTCCAGCAAGAAGGTGGTATGCCTTGCTTCTCAAACCATTCAGGCATACGGAACCGATCATAAAGTGTTGGTCTTACATCTTCTTCCTCCGAAAGTTGCTTCAGTAGTGGTAGAATAACATCCAAAAGCTTCAAGTTTCACAATAGTTCTTAATCAGTTTCAACACTAACAATAAACAAATGTATAAGAGAAGAGTAATAAAAGTAATAGAAACCTGAGTGTCATTAGGCTGCCCGGCTGAAAATGCAATACATGGAATCCCATTTGATGGTTGCAATAGAAAGCTGAAAGGGTTGTTGTCAACTATTACAGTCCTAGACATGTTCTTTGATGTGGTTAACAGATCCTTCACATGATCTCTGTATGGTCTGATTACAATGTACAAAAAAACCTCAATAAACCTACCACAAACCAATTCTTAAAATTATAAAACAACTTACGTGCTAACTGTAGAAGGTCGATAAAGTCGGTTGCTAAGTACTTTCCTTGTATCTATTCTATCCACAAGCGGTCTCGCATATCCTGAGTTCAAGAAACATGAATGTTCAACTCTTAGGGTTACATATTTGAGTATGATTTTAAGGGAAAGAGTGAGAGACCTTCAAGACCAGCAGTAAACAGAACAAGATCAGCAAACTGGCTAAGCTGCTCTAAGAACTCGTGCAGTCCAGGACGCTCAAACACCGTAACGTAATTGATCTTAGCTTTACCATCACTTTCCTTCTAAACAACAGCAAGAGAGACACGTGTCATAAGAAAACGCCAAAACTTGAGAACAAGTAGTGGAAGCAAAACAAACCTTGTCTGATGATAAACACTCAAGCTCGAACCAGTTTAACCCAGCCTCGATAGCTTGATTCCGTAAAGCAGCAGGTAGACTCGAAGTCTCGTATGCACACACTAACGTCTCGTCCAAGTCAAGAACTACCTACAAAGTACAACACACATCTTTATACATTTCACAAAAGAAAAGGTTTCAACTTTGAAGCATAAATGGTCAAAAATTCAAACTAACTAACTAACTAATAACTCTTCAACTACAAACACACAATCTTCAGTTCTCAAACTACCAATGGCTACTAAGCACGGTTCCACAGGATACACCTTTAACAAAGTCTTAAACACATTTTCACATAAAGGTTTCACCTTCGAAGCATAAATGGTCAAAATTCAAACTAACTAACTGAACTAATCAAAAGGTTACAACTTTTCACAAAGTTAACACATTTTCACAAAAAGGTTTCAACTTTGAAGCATAAATGGTCAAAAATTCAAACTAACTAACTGAACCAATCAAAAGGTTACAACTTTTCACAAAGTCTTTAAATTCACAAAAAGGTTTCACCTTTGAAGCATAAATGGTCAAAAAAACCAAACTAACTAACTCAACCAATCAAAAGGTTACACCTTTTCACAAAGTCTTTTGAACACATTTTCAAAGGTTTCACCTTTGAAGCATTAAAAAGTCAAAATCAACGACCCTTTTTGATTGAAAGGATGTACCTTTAGTCTTTGGAGGCAATCATCGTTGGCGGAGGAGGCGATTTCGACGGTGGTGGTGGGAGATTCCGGCAATTCGATGGACGGTAAGGGTTTAAATCCATCGCCGGCGGAGGATTTAGCGGAGGAGGAGAGGAGAGGATGGTAGCCGACGGCGCGGAGGATCTGGAGGAAGATCTGGTAGAAGAAGGCGAGGCAGTTCATGAAAGTCTTCCACACTTGGAGAGAACGAGGCGAGTAAACGACGTCGGACTGAGTCAACTCGGCCATGACTCGGTGATAAAAAGGTGAGACAGAAAACAAACTTGAAGAAGGAATCAAAGTTCTTCCTTCTTCTTCAAATGATATGTTAATTTAATTAGAGAGGTGTGTGTGTGTCTATGGCGATGGTTCGATGAAGTTGTTTTTGATAAAGTGACGTTTTATTGATTACGATCCACGCGCGTGCCCATGGAAATGTAATTATTGTTCAATAATGTTCTTGTCGTAAGAAATAAATAAAGGATTAATTAAAAGATAGATTTAAATACTATTCCGTAGTACAACAAAGTGGAAAACAATACATTCAAGCATTTATAAGTATAGATTTTGATTACGAATCTAGAGTAATATAATGAATCATTTCCGAACTATGAGTTTAATTTCAAATTGAGTTTGGTATCAAAGAATCAAAATCAAATCAAGCAAATACATATAATTGTTAAATTATAAGGAAAAACTAAATTGATTGATAATATGACTACACATCAAAAAAAAAAAAAATAGAGTGTATAAATATAGTAAAGACTTTGTAAATTTTAACGATTTAAAAGATTATATTAAAATATTTAAGAGAAAATAATGAAATTTGAAGTTTGCAAAAAAAAAAATATATATAGAAATAAAAAATTGAACACCAACAAAAATATAGAGAAATCGGTGAATTATGAAAATGTTATTAGATCTAAGAATTTATTTGACAGGATTATAAATAAAAAAAATAATAATTTGTGTTGATGGTTGTATTATAAATGTTTATGCATCTTGTTAATATTTTATGATGAAATAATAAGAGTACATTAGAAGAAGCAACGTGAAGCTACGCGCCAGAAGAATGAGAGTGTGGAGTTAAAGACAGATTATACCAATAAGAAGAAAACAGATAGTATATGACTGCACGAATACGCTTCTTTGATCATTCGTTTATTTTATTTTTTTTGTTTAATGATTTTGTTTTCGTCCCTTTCTCAATGTACACATCTTCCTTAACCTAATGTTATTCCGGTTTGATTCTATTTTATTTTTTTCGTCTAAATTAGATCAAAGTGATGGTCAGACAAATCGATTCTCCGAGGAGCACTTCCGTCTGGCCGGATCTGATCATATAGAAAAAATATATAATCTCTGCTCTTTACTTTTTTCGCTAGTGTGTCTTCTCGACCATTCATACTTTGAGGGATATGAGATAAACTCACCATTCTTACTCCGAAGAATATGCGGTTTGATTTATTTAGATTCGCTTCGACTCCCATTGTGTATACAAACCATTCAAAAAATCCTGTTTTTGGCTACTCATTTCAGGGGACACAGGATTGGACTAATTTGAGATACTTAACCAATCAACAAACATTAATCTTCTAAATGGTTCCAATCCGCCAAAATTGACCAATTCAAAACCATCATGTGGCAAATTTTAGGTGTATGCCAAGTTATTTTGATCCATTCATTGCTACAATGAAGTAGAGACACACGTACACAAACACACGAGCACATGCGTGCAACTTTAAATGTTCATGAGTCGCTCTCTCTAATCCCACATCGACAATTATCGTGTGAGATAGAAGTAGACATGTTTGTCTTATCTCCAAACCTTATCTTAAATATTCATTTTTGGTTTGGTATAGATCAGTCACAGATAGATATATATATATATACTAAAAAACATGAGTAGAGGTTGCATTAGATATTATAATTCTGATTGTAATTTTTCCAAAATAAAAAAAACTCAAACAGTCAAAAGCTATTTATCAATATCCTTAAGCACAAACATATAGTAGTTAAGAGTAACAACGTGCGTGAGTGGTGATGAGTGATGAAGTAGTAGCTTTTTTTTTGATGATCCTATTAGGTCTTCCGGTTTATACATATATAAAACTTGTAGTCAGGGCACATGCATGAAGGAACCAACATAAAATGCCCATCCGGTGGTTCATCGCTCACTTCACGAACTCTTTGGAGATCTGATTCGAACCACAAGCGGTCAGGGCAAGATGAAAAGAACTTGAAAGTGTAGGAGAACTTGTCTTCCCCTGGTCCAATACAGCTAGCATAGAATACTCGACCTTGTGGTGTGTCAAAACACTCCACAATAACAATCTCTCCTTCTCCCTTTGTAGTCCGTTCCTTGAGAATGACCCTCTCACCACTCAAAGGGTACGTAAACACGGGCGTTCCACACTCAAACATATATGTGGACTTACAGTGTTTAGCAACACTGTGTTCATATAAATCCTTGTTAAAGCAAACAAAGTCGCAGCTGCTAAAAGGGCAAGCACGTTGAGTGAAAGCACAGATCTCCAAATGTTTTGATGTTTTAGTAAAAGATACATTCTCGGAGCAACCAAATTCTACATTTGGACATGGAATTGTCAGCAGTTTAAGAACCCGTTCCATAGCTCTATTACGGGAAAGGGTGGGCAAGGAGCACGTTGGACATTTTTTCCTCAACTTGTCGAGGCAAGAAAAGCATGCTATATGACCATTATCACACTATATGACCAAAAGATAGTTATGTGATCAATGAAACGTCGCTTCAATAAAGCATTTGATAAAATTTTAATTTAAACTAGACTTTATGAGAGTATAATTTTTGAGCAATTCTCTAAAATAATTTTCTTTTAAGTTTTTATCACAAAAATAGAGCTCAAAAATTAAAATGACTAAAATAATATTTTTTATTTTGAAAATTTTAAGTTTTCTTAATTTTTTTAAATTCGAAACCCCATCCTCAAAACTCCACTCCTCAACTCTAAACAAAAAATATATAATTAGTTAACCCAAGAAATATAAATATACTAGGGACGGCCCGCCCTACGGGCGGGATTTTATAATGAAAATTATTTTAATATTTTTATGTAGTATTTTTATTTAAATATTATAGACTAAACCTCTGTATTAATAGATATAAGTCAAGTAAATATTAAGATGAGGGATGTTAAAAAGTCCATAAATATCAGGATATAAAGTGATATGCTAATTTTTAATGCATCATTTGATGAACATTGTTATTACTTTATTATATAAATAGACATAAACATATTTATATATTTCTAAAATAATAATAAAAAAAAATTCCCAGGTTAGTGCTGATGTTACATAGTTGAGAGATGAAGCAATATTCTCCACCAGTTGAACTAACCATATTTAAGGTTAAATGTATATATTATTTATCCTGTTTTTTTGTTAGAAAATGCGTGATATGTTAGAGCTTCGTTTTCCATTTTAAGTTTTCTATAATGGATCATATGGCCCAACCGTAATTGTTTTCGTTGGGTATTTTTTTATGGGAGAAATGTACTAAATCACATGTTCACATCCGATGTTTTTGGTTATTATCTCTATAAAGCAAGACAGAGCATCGAGGAACAGAGAGTTTGCAAAAATAACTGGGGAAATTGTTATGGGGAGCTAAAGTAATAAAGATGGAACGGTAAAAGATAGGTAGTACGGCAAAGCGTGTGATGGCCTTTGCATCCAGGATGGCTAAGTTGGATTTATTACCAAAATTCTAAAAACTTTTCAAATCTATCAGCCTAATCCTATACGCAGAAATATTTGATCTGGTTATTAATAGCTACTGGATTGTATTTTATGGAATTACATAATTTAAAAAGTTTACAATTTTATCAGCCTAATCCTATATGCAGAGATATTTAATCTGGTTATTAAAAGCTACTTGATTGAATTTTATGGAATATATAATTTAAAAAGTTTACAATTTTATCAGGCTAATCCTATATGCAGAGATATTTAAGTTGGTTACTAATAGCTACTTGATTGGATTTTATGAAATTACATAATTTAAAAGGTCTACAATTTTATCAGTTTAATCCTCTATGCAGGATAATGGTTACTTGCTCAAATCTTATTAGACTACACGAAGAATTATATCATTTTGCACACATATTACCGTAAGATCAACCAATTATTTTATAAATACTATAGAGTGTCTTAAGCAAAAACAGACTACGGGGAAGCAGGAAAACATTTTTGCTAAAGGAAATTTCATAAATATTATTGTAGAGAGTGTCTCAGAGCAAAAACATACTACCCATATAATGGGGTATCAGGAAAACATCTATTTATAAAGGAAATTCAAAATAAAGGAAAACGATAATAAGCACTACTAAAAGGAAAAAGTAATGCGGCCGTAGATCATGTTGTTCTGGATCTAGGCGAGACGCGACTTCTTTGCAACCTGCGAGGATGAACTCGGGTTCTTATCGGGAGTAGCACCTATAGGAGGTGAGACAGCGGCTACTGCTGCTGTTACCTCCGCTGTTACCGATTAACAGAAAGTGTACTCTTTCCCTTCCATATCTGCAATAAACGAAGGAAGTTGTGTGTCTTCAGGATTCACACCGTCACCAACCTATTTATCCAGGGACAACATAATATATATTTTTCAGGAGTAGGCATAAGTTAAAGATTGTAATTAACTAATTTTGTTTCTTACCAGCATCTGACCAGCTTCAATCGCTTTCAGATTATGTAACTTCATAATCAAACCATCAAAACAGACGAACACACCTTCCGCAATATCATCAGCAATGGACATCTCAACTCGGTAACTACATCAAAATAAACATACATAAGAAGCATACTGTTGGTTGGTCTATGTAAAGCTATAGTCATGTACGAAAACTAATGACATGTGACATATAGGAGAGAACCAACAGCATGGCTATTGTCACAACACTGACATACGAAAGAGTTAACAATGAGCTGTAGTTTTTTTGTGCACTTGGAACATGCAACGTAACACCACCCTTTCTCTGGGTCAAGGCGAGACAGTGCATATGAAATCATTATCCTACATGTTAGTTAAGAGGTCAGCATGGAGCACAGCTACTGTGGCTGTTATAGCACCGTGATATCAAGAGAAATTCCAGTGAATGGTTATACCTGAGATGGAGCAGTGATGATGAAACTACTGAGCTCAGCTATGGTGAGTGGCTTGACCTTGGCATAGCCTTTCAGTAAGGTTGCAGCCGGTGAAAGGCCAGTGTCTCTGGCTACATATAAATGGATGTGACATCGGTAAAACATATCCTACTATATCCTCTATGCACATATCTGTATTAATTCCAATTAGCTTACCGATGAAAAAGTAAAGATCAGATAACTTACATTAATATCGATCATGAGCATGTCAACCCACATCAGTTCACCAGCACAAATGGGTTCCTCACTTCCGAGAACAGGAGAAGGCGAACATCAACGGTGGAGGAGCACCGGCCGGACTTCAAATCGGATTAAAAAACCCTAGAGGAAGCCATTACAAACAGATTTAGTATGTTGAGAAAGGTTTTTGAATGATTATCAGGGGAACGAAGCCAACCTATATATACCCGCGATTCCACCGTTTCGCAGGAGATGAGAAGAGAGTGATAAGAGATCGTGTTAAAGGAGTAAATGCGATTATCAATGCTCTAAGACGGTTTTTGGTGAACGCTCTCCCCTACGAATCTGAATCGTCTCACGGAAATCACGCAGAGAAGAAACTCGCCGGCAAGGCTCGAGTTTCATAGAAACCCCAAAAGTTCCTGGTAGAGGAGATGAGGACACTACACACTCGATTGGGCCAGGAGCCAAATTAAATGGGCTAAGACAAAAAAAGAATAAGTCCATATCGTGTGTTGAGTTGAAAATGCATTGTTTTGACAATTACAGGTGGCATGCTGTGATGAAACTATTTAGTGACGTGGATGAGTTATAGGGAAGCAACTTTACTTTATATAAATAGATATTTAATAAAACATTTAAGTGCTATTTTTGTCATTGGTCTATATTTGTGATAAAAAAAAATTTAGGTCTATTCTAATCATTTTCTCATAATTTTTGCATGTCATGTAAATAAAAATGAGAAATGAAACCTGGAAGATAGAAATGGTGAGAGGATTGAAGCAAAGGGGACACTCGAAAGCATCGAGATCGTGCAGCGTCGCCGTGCGTTTCTTGTTCCCCTCCGCATCACCGGAAGTACGTTGCCTCTTTTGCGAAGTACCGTTGTTTCCGTCCTTGGAGAAACCCGCCATAATCAGAGGTTATCAAACTTCAGTCTGATGAAACCCTTAGCCAAAGCTGTGGAGTGGTAACTGAAGCGACGAAGACGGGTCTTTATCAAATGAGTTATTGGGCTATTAATATACTGGGCTTTTGTTTCTTCCGTTTAGGATTTGAACACCCATTAGCTTAATTTGCACAAATTTTTTTAGTGCATATAATATAAAATATCTTAATCTTGGTCCTTTTAATATGTAAAATATTTTAATTTTTATTAAATTTAATTTTATTGAAAGATATTTAATCAATATATGTTTCACGGTATATGTTATAATTAGTTGGATTTTAATTTGTGTGTTTAAAATACTTTTAAGAGAAAAGTAAAATCTTTAATCTTTGTGTTTTTATCCAAAACATCATATGATTATAAACAGAACAAATATTATTTATTCTTCGTACACAATATGCTTCCCACCAATTTGAATCATCATCATGTGTTATAGGTTTATTTATGTATCAGAAGAAATTTAAGAACGGACAAAGTTGAGTTAGAGATGATCAAGAACTTAAAAATCATTATTTATAAAAAGAAGAACAAATAGTTCATTGTTTATATCCTTACATTACATAACAAAATACAATTAATAAATAGTTCAATTTAACAGATAAGAAAGAAGCATGATTTATTATTTAGACAAGAAGAAAACAACTTCATCAACTGTAAATTCAATGTACGCACATGTTCTACTATCGAGGCGATCTAAGTTCGTTGATATGAGACTTGCTGCGTGGACCTTGCATACGAATGAATTGACGGTATTGATCGTAGGTCGTGGAGGTGTATAGAGCTGGTGAATCTTCGGTCACTAGCTCCTTCAATGGCTCGATTGGGATGTTGCCCTTTGGGTTGTAGAAGAATGCCAATGACAACCTCTCCTTTGCAGGGCTCACGATCACTCTGTGTTCTACGCTTTTGTATATTGAATTGGTCAACATCTAACCACATAACAAAATGGTCAACGTTTGTTAAAAAAAAAATCCAACATTCCAAATAATGCGAGATATTGAAATATACATCCTGCAAAAATGACATTGATATCTACCCAAGAAGAAATTAATCTTTTTTTACCAACATGCAATTGTTAGGTTTGGACCAAATGACATAATAACGACATCAGTACAAATAAACGATTAGAAATACAATGATTTGGTCAACAAAAAGAAAGAGATCCTATGATTTGACCATGTATGTAGACGGTTTTGGTTTTAGCACGTTTGAAACATGTGAATATTTGTGAGCGCAGTCGTTGAAATTGTTTTTGTCGGTTTCTTTATTTGGACCATTTCTTTTTCCTTTAATAGAGGCACATGCAGAAATAAACAACATTGAAACGTGGCTTCACCAGTACCTAATTGAATTTCAATTTCCCCATCAACTTTTTTTTTTCCTGACTAAAGTTTCCACATCAACTTTATGTTTTTATATTTTCATTAATTTAACTTTAATAATACAGGAAAATCAAAGGAAGAAATATGCATGCACGTGCTTCATTCAAATTAAATGCTAACTATCTCCAAAATTAACAACTTCTAAGAATAATGAATACGAAGATCAAGTTTCATTTACGTGATATCTTAACCTTTTTTGTCGCATCATTGATATTTTAGTCTAAAACTCAAAAATCAAACAGTAGTAAAATAATATAAAGGCTCGAATCTTTCCCACGATTTTTTGCTGTGATTGACGAATGTTAATAAGTCAACAAGGTTATCAGATTTTCCAGTAATTTGAGTGTCGGTTCAATGTTCTCCCATCCATACATTATAAAATAATAAAAGTTGCAAGAAAATCAAATAAAATAGTCACCTGAATTTGGTCACCAATGTTAACGATGAGAGCGTTAGGAGCTGGTTGGACAGTGATCCAAGCGTCGCCACATCCACGGACCTGAAGGCCGGCGACTTGCTCGTCCGGCAAGAGAATGGTCAATCCACCGGGATCAGAGTGTGGAGAGAGGCCGAGAGTCAACTCCGGCTGAGGGCACTTTGGGTAATAATTAACCCTTAAACATCCTCCAGATTCCTCTTTACCACCAAACGCATTTTGAAGTATGTCCTCTTCTAATCCCAAGTTTCTCGATAATATATTCATCAAGTTCTCGCACAGTTTCACCATTTCCTTGCAATAATCCTCCAATATTTCTCTATATAACTCAAAACACAAGAGAAACAATATAGTAATTTAGATTTGTTTATCTTAAATATGCTAAAATTTTATAATATATAGATTGATCCAATAACTACTATATCATATATTTCACATGTGCTTGCGTTATAAAATAATAATCCAGTGATAAGTCGTACTAGTACGTCAAGATAAGTATTTTTTTTATTACAAAGCTCATTTATTAAAAGGTTTTGAAATAAAATATATACCGGCAATGAAGAGGCAAAGAAGGCCACTTAGTGTAATCCTTCAAAGAAGAAGGACGATAATGAAGAAAATAGTAATCACTCCAATCAAGAATAGCTCCCTTCTCTACGCCAAGACGGCTTCCATATCCCTCGTATGTTTTCGGCGAATTAGCATGCATGTTCTTAAGCTCCATGGGAAGATGAAAGAACTCTCTCCATGTTTCTTTTGCTCGGTCCATGAGTTGAGGACTCATCCCATGGTTCACCACTTGGAAGAATCCCCATTCTCTACAAGCTTTTGAGATCTCGTCGAGAGTTTTGGCCTGTAGAGTCATGTCGGTTGTGTATAAGCCACCTAAGTCAATGATGGGGATAGTGGCGGTGACAGGGTTGTGTTTGTTGTGGTGGTTTTGAGAGGGTAAGTTTGGACGTTGAGACAGAGGCTTGACGTAGCGGTTTGGTATGGCTTTGAGGTTGCTTTGGGATAAGGATTGGACACGGACTATAGGCTCAGGCCACTCTTGGAACATGTTCATGGCTTTGGTTTTCTTACTAAGGGCTATGGAAGAGGAGGCTGAGGATGAAACAAGGGAGTGTTACGAAGTTATATATATAGGGAGAAAAATAGAGAGAGAGAAAAAAAAAGGAGAGCTAGAGGGATCCATTATTTAATTTATTAACTTAAAAATTTATGCGGAATAACCAATCTGATGATTAATCCAAAATATAAAGACGGATGAAGAAACATCATACTTGACGAAGTTAGAAATTAGTAAAAATTTCTGAATTAAAACATTTGTATGCTAAATTCCGAATTCTAACAAAATTTTGACCAAAAACTGAAGCAAAGTCACTTGTCATCCTTTGTTGTTACTACTAAGAGCTTGATAACATTTTTGCGATCGAATTTACATATAGTAAGCCAATAATGTTCATTTGATTGCATTTACAATTTCCAAAACTCCTAGTATTTGATAAAAAGAATAAACTAGCTTTTGATCTACGCGTTCGCGTGAGGACATATTCAATATAATATATATATATATATATATATATTTTTTTTTTTTTTTTGAAAACATTTATATTATTGTTTCATATTTTTTAGATTATAACTTGATGTATTTTGTTTATTTTGTTGGATATGCATTTTTAAACTATGAAGTTGTAATCTTCTTATATTGTATTGTATTTTTTGTTTGGTATACTAAACATAAAGTATATAATATCAGATCAGTAAATTAAGATTTTAAACTTTTAATAGATAAGAAAATAAAATTTTGTCATTTAAAATTATTGTTTATATAGTTTCAGATTTTAAATTTTATTAACTAACAAAATATAAATTATGTTATCTTAAACTTATTTTAAACTGTTGTTTATATTGCTTTTAGAGGAAAAAAATCGATAGAAACAAAAACAGACTAATTATAAAAGAAAATATATATGATTAACCACGGGGTGGTGGACTAGTGGTCTTGAGGCAGTTTCAACGCCAATAAGGACCCGGGTTCGAATACCCCCTGTGGCCACGGAATGCCTTACGCCTTTTCCAAGTTGAGTTAAGCGTCGCGTTGGTGCCATCGCGTCCCTTGGGTAATGGGTATTGGTGCCAGCTGGTTCCGGGCCAGGGGGATTAGTTGGTTGAGTTAAGCGAGGCGTTGGTGCCATCGCGTCCGTCTTCGAACCTCCTGTTAAAATATATATATATATATATATATATATATATGTTTTTTGTTTATTTTAGAACCGAACTTAAAGTTTTAGATTTTAATTAGACGCAAACCGACAAACACAAGTTAGGCCTATGTATCTCGATTAGTTCGGGATGTAGTTCTATTATTTATAAAAAGTCCACTTTTAAATATAGTCCAATTTATGAAACCTATTTTATTACTTTACTAGGGCCGGCCCGCCCTACGGGCGGGAATTTAAAAACTAATCTATATTCCTTCTGTTTCATTAAATTACATATTCTAGGAAAAAAAATTGTTTCAAAAAAATTCATTTTTTTGTATTTTCAATACATGTTTTATAAAATAATAATGATTAATTATAAATTTCAAAAAACTTAATTGTATTTATTGAGTTTTTGTNTTTACTAGGGCCGGCCCGCCCTACGGGCGGGAATTTAAAAACTAATCTATATTCCTTCTGTTTCATTAAATTACATATTCTAGGAAAAAAAATTGTTTCAAAAAAATTCATTTTTTTGTATTTTCAATACATGTTTTATAAAATAATAATGATTAATTATAAATTTCAAAAAACTTAATTGTATTTATTGAGTTTTTGTTGGTTTAAAGTTATGGAAAAAAGATAATCACAATAATTTATACATTTATTATAAAAAGAATTTCTAGAATAGACCTAAAAATGTTTTTTTGTCACAAATATAGACCTTATAAATAAATATGATCAAAATAGACTTAAATGTTTTATAAAAAAATAAGTAAATATATATTTATACTCTTTCGGTTAACTAATTCTAGACTTTTTTGTTTAAAGTTGAGAAGTGAGGTTTTGGAGATATGATTTCAAATTTTAAAATAAAAATATATTAAATTTTCAAAATTAAAAATGCTATTTTAGTCATTTTAGTTTTTGAGATCTATTTTTGTGATAAAACTTAAAAAGATATATTTGAGAGAATTGCCCTTTATTCTATATTTTATTAATATATGTTAAAATATCTAGAATATGCATTATATTTTAAAAGAGGGAAAGTGAATATATATTAATTTTAAACAAACAAAAAGTGAATAGAATTTGAAATCTTATTGTTATTTTTAATAAATATTTTTGGATTGTACTAAAATGACAGTAACCTTTAGTAACCTTTATTATTCGTTGTTAACTTGTTGTACTCTCATTATCTCGTATACGTGGTTTCTCATTTCTATCTCTAAAAAGTCAAAGCATCATTAACATATGGTTTGCATATTAAAAGTGAAAACACGTTGACATGCGTGTCTTCTGCCACTTTTCATTATTTATAAGAATTAGTTATTGCTCTAGTTTCTCATTTTCGTTTTCCACTTGTAACAATTGTAGAGCTCATGATCATCTATTTCTATTTTTAACTCTGCTTTTGCACTACCAAATCTCTAATGCTATATTGTTTTCTATTTCTGTCTATTCCTATCACACCGCCTACAACCTCCATAATTTTCTTTCTATCTATCCGTCGTCATCTAGCATCTGAAGAATTTCTGATTTAGCTTTACTTAGCTTAGGACTTTCCTGTTTTCAACAAATCCCTACAACTTCTCGACATGTTTCTCAAGTTTGTCATCCTTTATTTCAAATAATCTTCTATAAGTATCTTCACCATTTTCACACCACCCTTGCAAACTATCCTTTTATATGTGTATTAATCTCTATCGTCTTGATCTTTGAAACTCTTCCCCGGCAGCTTGCTTACTCATTATCCATCCTATTTCTGAACATCCAACCCCATAATACCGTCAATATAATTTATAAGCATGTAGGATACAGAAGAAGGAAACATACATCACTACTGATATATAAGTATGAAGCAACAGAGAGAGTACTTAATATTCAAACTTTTTATCAGTTCAGATCTCATGAGATTAGAGAATTGAAGATCATTTTCATACCTTGGTATACAAAGGCTGATACAACTTCTGATATTTAGCTTTGATAGTTGTCTTCTTCAATTCAGCTTGGAAAACTTTGTTTCAATTTCATCAGGTTGGTTCTGATGCAAAATGAAAAAAAAAAGAATAAGATCATATATTCACCACCAAATATCTTTAAAGACTATATCCATTACCCGCAAGATTAGTGAAGGATACTACTAAAACGAACAGTCACTGAAGGATATGTATAAGCAACAGGAAACATAAAGTAAAGAGCAGTCACTGACAGAAAACATAAAGCCAATACTGATCCAAGGTTGTAGAACCATGTTACTTGACATCTTCTTAGAATCATGGCACAAATCCAAATTCGTTTTTGACTCAAAATATATAGAATAGCTTTTATTATCAGAGAAACTTAATATAAAGATCAATGGGAAGGAACACCACAACGCTAGAATTATGTTGCAGACAGAAGAGGGGAGATCAAAGAGGAGCCTGACTCAAACTCAAGAATCTAAATGTTTAATTAACACACAAACAAATTATATCAAAGAGGAGGCTGATTCAAATTAGGGATGTATAAATAAATTCAAATTAGTTATTTGAGCAAAATGAATGTTGTATTTTCCCGGTTTATTACATGAACCGCCAAATTTCAGTTACGATTGATTTTCCCTTTTCGGTAAACGCTTCCATGTCAACCGAGTAATCGAATAGTCAGGAATCTTGAACCGTCGATCAGTTATTTCAAAGTGAAGTAAGAGCTATCATACTCATCTCAACCCCATCTCACATAGTGAGGTAATGGACATCTATCTAAACACAAATAAACACCAGAAAATTATCTTTTAGGCAACAAAAACACATAGATAAACAGCAGAAATTATCTTTTTGGCATCAAAAACACATATGGATACAAACACTAAACGCAGAAATTATCTTTTGCGCTTGTGGCTAAATCCAAACAATCCGAGACCTTAACTTTCTACGTTAAAATAGACAAAACAATAAGACTTACAAACAGTCAAGCAATATTCAGAACATCAGGGATACAATTTAATTTTGTAGATGAACTAAAACTCAACAATCCATAATCTAATATCAAAGTTTAATTTCAAAGCCAATTTAAATATAATAAAAAGAGAGAATGACCATGATGAGCGAGATCTCGAGAAGAGAAATGAGAGGTACAGAATCGGAGATCTCCGCTACTCCTTCGTCCTTAGGGCTGATTCGAAGCGGTGAGGATTCCGTTCATGAGTCGGAGATCTTTTGCTGCTCGAGAAGCTATCGTTACTTAGCCAAACTCCAACAGAAGAAGGATTGATGAGTTAGCCATCCATAGAATGGTCAGAACCTATCGTTCAAGGTAACACATACTGATACTCTACAGTGGTTCAGCGCTTCGACGGCGACTTTCACATGTTTTAACCAAGAGACGATGAAGACAAAACATAACGTGTTTAGGTTAAAAGGTACAGAGCCCAATCACAATTTTGGACAGGCCCATGAAAACATCAACGAAATCCACGTGTCATTATCTAGTGAACTTAATTAGTGACGTGGACTGGCTTGAGTGAGGCAAACATTCTTTTATAATAATAGATTNCGGCGACTTTCACATGTTTTAACCAAGAGACGATGAAGACAAAACATAACGTGTTTAGGTTAAAAGGTACAGAGCCCAATCACAATTTTGGACAGGCCCATGAAAACATCAACGAAATCCACGTGTCATTATCTAGTGAACTTAATTAGTGACGTGGACTGGCTTGAGTGAGGCAAACATTCTTTTATAATAATAGATTAGGACCAAAGCAGAACACTGATTTTGGTTACTGAAAGATTAGCTATTCAACTTGAATTGCCGGTTTTCAGTTTAAAACCAGTTGTCTAAACGTTAGGCGGTTTTCATCCACTCCAATTTATACTAAATTGATACAAAAATTTGAATGTTCGATTTAGTTCATCTAGATAATTTCATAACCGTCTAGACGATTTCCTAATCTATCTTTTTGATAATATTTTTATCTATTTTTTTG